TGTTTTGTTATATACATATATGACTTACATTTAGCTGCAAACTTGAACCGTATTTGTACTTTGTCTATTTACTTTTTTTTTTTGCAATATCAATTGCCTTCACTAAACCAACTTGTTCGTGATGTTCTAAGAAATGACAAGACTGATAGCTCCCGTAAGGAAAAGCAGCCAATTTAGGCAGTACGTGGTGTGCCCGTATACAAGCAGCGGCACTGCTGAGGAATGTTTGGATTTTTTTGCCGTTGTAGCGGAACCCCCACGTGCTTGCAAGTACATTCGTCTGCTCAAAGCATCGCTTCTGTATTGTTTGTATAAACAGGTAACTACAGGTAACTCTAGAGACGTTTTCTGAATTACGAAGTTAAATAGACTAGAAAACTTTCCTCAACCATGCTAAAAATTACTACACGTTTCAACTTGGTATTTTCTAGCGCGGCTTTTACAGAAGAACTGGGGGTTATGCGGGACAAACATTTGACGCAAATAATCGACTTACCGATGGACAATGTGCTAATGCCGATCCTGACATATCAATAGTTCGTCATAGTAAACTTCCACGGAACGACTGAGCCGTACGCCGCATGATTTTGCTTCTATCAACAGTCGAATATGAGTAATTGTAATAGCGACCGAGGCTAGTTTATATTTGTTCTTGGTGAGCAGTGTTTAAATTAATCCGCTGGATTGTTTTGGACTGAGACTTTTGGATTATGGTGAACTGGACTTTATAAAACAGATAACCTACGAATCCATTGTTGCTTCGAATAAGACGACTATTGCAGAACTACCTCGTGTCGACGAGAATCTAAGACTGTATCGACACGAACGAAGGGGCAAAGTCAGACGAGGCGTTTTTTCAGTCGACGTCTCCCATCGTTACCTGTAGCATCTTCAACGTGTCTGTTCAACTTTCAAACGGACCTGACTCGTCTCATAGGTCCTGAACAGGGACGCGGACCCCTATCGTAACCTCCTCACGATTTCTCTATCCAGCCAGAGTTGTGGCTTGTCTCAACGAATCACAAGCAACGATAGTAACAGTTGTGCCTTACCGTGATAATATTACGTTCTAGTAGATGCTTTTCTAATTTGGTAATAGAATATAAATGAATGAATTGTTCTGTGTTCACTTATGCTAAACGATTTGTCTCTTTCGGTTGAGTCTGGCTTCCGTTAAAAGGGACATAAAAACCATAACAACAGTATAAGCATTGTCTTGCCGCAAAAACAAACAGGCAAAGCCAGGCCTGAGGAGAAGTTTCTGTAGCGGCCTTAACTCGCTCTCGTTATCACATCGGCCTATGGTTCATTAATCATGACACCAGCCCGAGCGGCGGGGGAGTTACAAACGAATGGATGCATTATTAAATATGCAGTTCCATAACGTGTTTTATTTACCTGAGATCTATATGTATCCCTTCGTTAGAGTTTTTTTTCGTTGATTTCTTTCTTAAGCTACTTTCAGACGCATAATAAACACAATAATTGTAATAAAAAAAATCATTTGAAAAACTGTGAACATTTATCATAAAGGGCTAATATCGCCGTTCTGATTTCTATTCTTAGAGGAATTTCAAGTTCCACTTGATCATCGTCTTGCATATGGTATGATGGAAACTTAAAAAAGTTATGGCTCTTTAGAAATTTTAGCAGGACCAACTGCATGATCCATGGATAAACTAAATAATTAGGCGTTCGGTGTTTGTGGCCATCAGCGCTACCTAGATTACCATTATTAACCAGTAACTCTCAAAAGGAAATTAGAGATGCCTCTTTTCCGTTATTAGAACGCCTCCACGTTTCTATACAGAAACGCTTTAAACCAACGTCCCTGTATAGAATGAACCTAATCTCAATGTATAATAGGTAATGCATTTCGGGGTTTCCAAAGCAGACGTATATACAAGTAACAACTTTACAGATATATAGGCGTATACGTACATATCTATGGCGACTTTAGTCTTTCCAAAACCCTCATTCGGGCGCGCACATCGTTAGTGAGCCGTGTAGGTTTTATTAGAAATATTCTTAATAATGCTATCAAGGTCTGATGTGCTCTAAATTTTCCGCCAGGCCGTCTGAAATAAACTGGCGTTACAGAGCAGCGCCTGTAACTCGAGAGCATCGGGCTTTTCTACTGAAATTTAATGAATAGCTTTAAAGGATACGCCTTATCTGTGGCCTGTTTCATGTCTTGAACGGTAGTTTAAGTCGTGCTTTTATAACCTGGTAGCAGCATTTACTATCACCTCCTACACGAACAAGAGAATACGCGGTTGTTTTCATTGGCACGGATGCTAGCCAGTAGGAATATGCACCTTTCACCATGTTGGATCGCTTTGACATGCGCTTGCTTTTTGCTGGCTTTGTATCGATCTTCGTACAATCCTACAGCTTAACCTAATCGCAAAATAGGCGACACGAATTCATTCGTTTGCTACTTCAACATGCTGTACATGTGTTGTTATTTTTTTTCTTTTTTTTTTGTACAAAAATACAAGCGCTCACTAAAACGACGGCAATACTAGCAAAAATCGTAAACCCTACGAATTGCGTGCATTTCACATAAAAGGTGGTTACTGATCTGTCCTGATCCTTTCACATGGCAGTCGTACATGCCACAATGAATCTTTTGCTGCTTTGCTTTTTGCTTATTTGAAAACGCTTTTGCTGTTGCTACGAAAATTTCTTAGGCGAACATTAGGAGTTTCCGAGCACATTTAGTATTCTCTTTTTTTTTCTTTCGTCCTGTCATCTGCATTCGTTGCTACCATATAAGCCTTTACAAGTAGCCGATATTATATTTTTACATTAGGGTCTGCTAGGGGAGACCCCGTTTACCACCATTATCGACAGCAGAGCGAAGTAGCGCGAAGAATGGTTCGATTGCTTCTGGCCTTTTTTTCGGACTCTCTACCAGCATATTCCTTGCTTTTCTTTGTTACAGGAAAACCGTTTCTTCAGCGAAAAAGAAAAACACAGTATCAAGTATGATAAGTGTGCAGTTTGTTAAACTTTGTATCCCGTCTTGCAAGGTAGCTTGCGCTGAGAGTGTCGTTATATGGAATGAGCTGCTACGAATCGAAGGTGTGTTTAGGTCTCTTTTTAGAGCTTACGAGTACATTCAAAAACCAGTATACCATATGGATTCGTATTTGTCAACTAAACGAATTGTAGAGAGGATTCCGGAAGCTATAAATTTTTGGCCCTTAGTCAATTTTCAATAGAGAAGAACAGCTTGAGATCTTTCAAAGATCCCTGCTTAATTTAGGCCTCCACAATAAGGCAATATTCAAAACGGATCGTTGAACCTGAATGTCCTTCGCCATAAAAGATATAATATTTATTGCATCTTTTATAGTTTTTTTTTTGTTATTTTACTCGCAATGACTGCACTCGGAGCGATAATAATGGTACTAATGAAATTAAAAATGATAATGATACCATGGTCTATATGAGTCATTTACATAGAAATATGATATTTACTGGCTAGTTAGTAGTAGTCTATTACCTTTATCAAATAGAAAATTAATCTACCCTTTTTTGCCACCTACGTTAAACTCTTTTATATATCCTTAAGTACATTATGTTTTGTAGGAACAGCATGTTGAAAGATACGTGTCGGAAGCAACAAGCGGGTTAACGGGCAGTCCCTTAAACGAACGTTAACGGTTAACGAACTCTACGCGACGATAGACGAGACAGACGCAGTAAGACTACGCCCCATAAAAAAAGAAAGCATCTGAGGTTTTAGCGAGGAGGACAACCCTAAACTTCCACAAGTTTCTACTTTGCTACGTTTTCATAGATGTCCCAAAAAGGTGGCTCTGGGCCATTTTCGCCACACCTGAAAACTTTTTTTTTGTTCTATGTCTTCTATAATGAGTGCATAGAAAGTACTACAGTGCATCTGAGTAGTGTCACTAATTATATGGGATGTGTTCTTCGGCTCTGATACAGTGAGCTGAAGGATGGTGGTCTAAGAAGGCTAGGGGCTAAAGCGAAAAACGCCCCTAAATCCCCCTTTAGTAATTTGGATGACTAAGTTGCGTTAGCTATAGTCGTACGCGACAGCGACGCGCCGATCGCTCAGTGATAAGCTAATAAAACTGGAAATGAGTGAAAGATGTTCTGACCCAGAAGATGCAAGGGCTGCCTTGTGGCAACAGTGGCGTGGGAACCTCATTTCCATTAAGCACATTCAGAGTAGATAAAACACATGCTTCAACACCCGATTGTTTTTTGTAGTGTGGGCTAATAGGTTGTTGGATGTTCCTCGCATCGCCATAACCATTAATAAGGCCAATGGGTTTCTTTTGGTTGAAGTGAGCAGGCAAATTCTGTCCCCCCAAGTAAACCCATCCTTACCATGACCATTTTTCACACGAAATATATAAGAACTGATCGATAGCATTTCGTACCTATGAACGCCAGCATTGACAATAACAAGGAAAGGTTGTTTTGCCATTCAAGTTGGACAACTATATGAATGTTATGTCCAGGGCTGGGTAAAGAATACTAGCCAGTCAGCTGGGTGGTTTCATAACGTGACTTCAAACGACAGTTCTTGACAGTAGAACAAAGAGGCAGACAGAGACAGTCAGAACTTCCTTCGTCGATCCTGACTGTAGGCTATCTGGTCATCGCTTCCAGTTATTGAGTAGCGGAGAAAATAGCTTACATAAACGTTCGTTCGTTGGAGTGAAGACCAACTTATACTGCAATTATTCTAAGACAAAAAAAATGATGTTAAAGCTAAAGTTCCTATTCAAACTTACCTAGGCAATATAAAGTAGTAAAGTACAACTCGAAGCTTTGGCAAAAAAAGTTTGCCGCTGAAATTCTAACAAGCATAGACCCTTCTATCCATTTGACTATGACGATGATTCCAGTTGATCTTCATGATTCTAATGAGTACATAGTGAATGTATGAACCTTTTTCTCTATACCGAAAAAGTATTATCGAGGTACTTCTTAAACACTATAGTCACCAGACCCACCTGCAGGAATTTATCCATGAAGAGACCGCGATCAGCCGCGTAAGCGGTACCGACAGTGACGGGGAAGAAAAGAAGGGTGAGTATGCCCTCCCAGACTTCGATAACGCCCCATGAGCTCCATGTAAGAATGGCGTATAGCCAAATATAGGCAAAAACTGACCACGTCATTGTTACTGCGAATACACGCAGATGTTTAATTCGCCTGAAAGAAAAGAATCAGGACTTCATCGTTAGATTTATTCATAAAAGGGCATTGCTATTATGATGCATCGATTCAGTTGACAAAAAGAAAATATCAAAATATAGTTCACAATTGAGTAGTAGTCCGTGAAAGTCCAGTTTGTCTGGAATCGTTAGCTAATTCATCTATTATATAACGTAGTACGTAGGTAAAATATGCTTATTATAGTAGATATACATTTGTCATATATAGGTACCGTAGTACCCATCTGCCATATATGCTTGTATAGTTAGGCTTTTATACTATTTCTTGAAGCGGGAGCAGGAGGGAGACGAGGGTAATTTGTCCGTAGGCAGGAACTGTCTTTCCGCCTTTGTGTTTAGCGCAATAACATATTTGATTATCGAAGCTTAAATAATAATGATTTCTGCCAGTCAGTTCTGTCTTCAGCTCGTGGCACCCAGCCTATCTTCGTGCAGTCGTATCATTGACGCCTGACGATAGACATACACGTGTCCATAGTACTTTATCCAATGGTAAACAAGTTGCCTTAGCGAGATGCCTCGTCCTACGCCTACATTATAATGCTATGATTACGGGAGAAAGTGAAAGAGGGCACAGATGCAGTTAGTTGAAGCTTTTACATAGACAACTGAACTGGGAGCGGTGTTAGAAGTTGCCCAATTAACTTGCTGTCCGATTTTCATGTAATATACACTGCGAATGAAACGTCACGTTTTTTTTTATCACGGCAAGGGCGTTCTATTGTGCGAAACGGTAGGACACAGTGGCCAAATCGCGGGAGACTGGTGGTTTCAAGCTGCTCGAGCCTGCGTAAGTGTTACCTAAGTTAAAACATAGCGTTATATTTGTTATCTACAATTTTAGTTACTACATAAAGTACAATTTTCGGTTGTAGCTTATCTTAATAGTTTTATTCTGCTAGGTAATAGAGAATATTCGCCATGCTTTGTTGATGTAATTAATGGCATGTTACGACCATTTTCCAGGGCCTTCCTGTGATATTTAACGAGCGCCACAAAAGGGTTAGACATGGTTCTACTTATTTTACGTGTGTCTATAGCATATATATAGAAACTACCAGATGCCCTTTGAGATCAGATTGGCTTATACTGCTGAACTAGTAGGAATTGATATTATGTATATTTAGTCCTTATAGCCTTACTCTTTAATACGCTTTAAATTAGAATTTACATTCGCGGAGTGCCCCCGCAGTTTACAACGTTGACAATGTTCTATGTATATATATCTATATATATATATATATATATATATATATATATATATAACGTTTCGAAAAGACTACGTGGAAGGAAACCTGGAAATTTGCTACAGCTCGAGCTAATTCAAACTGGCAAGCAGTTCTGGACGACTCCGACTTCTAATCTAATGTCGCCTGCTTCACATATCCCCTGGAGTGTGCGAGAGGTGAAGTTTAAGAAAAAAAAAATTACACCCGTTGAGTCTACGAGCGACAACCCAACTTCAAGTTCTCTGTAACGGAGATAGTGGTCTCCCCACCAAAGCAGCAGAAAACGAGCAGATATGACAGAGGAAGTACAACTCTGCTTTTGGAATACGCTTGTTATCGAGAAGAAGTAGTAGCTGGCTGGTTTTTCTACCGTATGATTTTTCCGTATTATGTGGCGGTGGCACGTTCGCAACGCCAAGCTTGTACGAATGGGCTCGTATATCATGGAGAAATGAAGAAGTAACGTTATTAGGTTATCATTATCGATATATATGTATATACGTGGAGATCGTACGGCTAGCATAGTCTGTGGACGATGGTCTGAATGGAGTTGATAGCGTACGCCGTATGTCTTTGATGTTGTCCGATAATGATCTTGAAGGTAACCTAGCTTCAACCATCGTAACTATTCTTGAACATTCGTGTTCTTCGTATAATTTTACGTGTAGTTTAGTGATTGAAACCTTTGTGTCCCTAATTTTTTTCAGAACAGAAAGTGCTACTTCTGAAATTCATACACACTACACAAAAGTTTAATTTTAACGGTGACATTTCTAGGAGTTACCCTATTTCCGGTAACAGCGTTTTGTTTTTAGTGCCGGTAATGGTGATCCTTTGTGGATGTGCAGTGAGTACCTTCACCGGCAAACAAGCGCGCATCGTTCGGCTGATATTTTATTTAGTAATCCCTAGATTCGATGAGCTATCTTTGGACCGCTCGAAACACAAATACTGTACATAGAGTCCAGCGAGAATAAGGCCTGTGGTTGTCTTTATGCTAAATTTATAGTTACATTTTGGAAAAAGATGGCGCGATCGCTGAAATAACTTAACGGTTATCTTAAGATGGCTAGTGTTTTTGCCATTGCGCAGGACGACAGAGGAGAGCAGTATAATTCGTTGAGCACGACTTTCTTCTCACGTATAATAATGTGACTGGCAGATAGGTCAGCTCAGGTGCGTTCATCGAACGGATCGAGCAGGAAACTAATCGTTGATCCTTTTGCCGATTACGGTGAATAAGCTAAAGACTGTAGGCAAACGGGAGGGGCGATGCTAGTAGCAGTAGATTAATAGGGCCAACAGAAGCCAGCGAAACTGAAAACGACAATAATACAATGTACGGAAAATGGAAAGAATACTTATTCATTCCCAGATGCTGCGATAGTTTTAAGGCTCAGGTAGATCGGCCAGTGGGGTCAAAAAATAATGGATAAAAGTCGAATGCCACAACACGATCATCGAGACAAACCGAAGACTCTTCGAGAACGAAAGCACCGTCTAGGAAGGCACTAGCGGTTTGGCTCGTTAGTGCCTATGTGATGGATATTGACTAAAGAATACGTCTGCAATATACAGTTACCCTCAAGACATCACTAACGAGCAGCGTATTACAGAACCGAACCAGTACCTTATTATTATTAATACGTCAAAAAATGATCACTCGATCGACCAAATCTACGAAAATGAATAAGCTCTATCTTTGAAACGATGCCATTAAAGAATCATCAGTTGTAGGACTTGGTGCGTTTGCCGCCTTGGATCAACATGTAAGGATCATTTGTTCTTCAAGCACTGAGGGAAGCCCACCAAAGCTAAAGGCTGTAAAGGGACCATACTTTCACAAATATAGTGAAAATATATAATGTTGGTTTGCTGTATTAATACGGCAACGAAGAGCACATATTCGGAAGACACATTCAGACCACGATGGTATCGAATTCATACTCAGTAAATGTCGCGTAACAGTATCCAAGTAAATCTAATGATCTTGAATAACCCAATTTTTAGTGGGCATCCAAACCGTTCCGGAAGCACAAATCACATCCTTTAGCTTCTGACTGTGGGTGCAGGGTAATCCAGGCGTGAGCCTATTACCGCCTTGATCTATGCTTCAATCTATACATTATGCGTTGCAGTTATTTCAGATGTACTCAACACTTTCGCCAGCGTACTTACTTTTAATACAGTATAAACCTAAATTGGCCTTACATATCGCATGAATGGCCTATACAGGCTTATTGGCTACCCGGGATAATACCCGCCTCGGGCCGCCTTTGTAAAAAAATAAAAACTTTTGTGCATTCGTACATTTAAACCGCGCGAATTTTTTTGAGCTTGCTTGTGTACTCTGATGACCTTGCTAATCGTTGTGACTCCGCAATTCCAGAATACGCCTCGAACATTTAACCAATGAATGTCGTTGTTTACAAAACACATGTCCTTATCTTATGATGCGAAAGTAGAAGCGGCAGCGGCAGTGGTGGTCTCCAATGGCAAAATTCAAAATGGAGACAACTGGTTTCGAACAAAAGTACATCTGCTTTCAGGGCTTATGTATTGAAGCACTTGACCTGCGACGGCCCAGTCGTTTTATCGAGCGGCTACACCAACGGCCAGACCGCTTGCTATTGATAATTACGTAATCCTATCCGAAGAATCGCGTGGAACTTCTTTTCTATGTTTCGTCCATCATAGCGTTGTCATATTAGCGAGTAATCCAGACCAAGTTGTTGGGTTATGATTCACCATTTTAAACTGTACACGATCTACTAAGGACGCGCGCGCTAGTCTTCGTTCGAGAAACCTACTGAAGGTAAGCACTCAAAATGGAATCAGCCGTAATTTTGCGTTTGCGTTTCGTCCCAAAAATTCTCAACGATAACCAGGACCCAAATACATTTACAGGAAACAAGTTCAGTTTACCGTCCACAGGGAGCTTGATTTAGGCAATATTTCTACATAACAATATTTAACTTAACCAACTGTTCTCCACATTCGTGCACTCATTGGAATTGTATGGGACATCCATTGTACTAGAAAATCATCGCAATGTCTACCTTTTCTGCGTACGACGATTGCTCTAGAAGCTTCCGTCCGTTTTGTCTGGCATCAGTGCAAAGTGACATAATGCTATAAGTTCATAATGGCTACGAAGATATGGTTCGTACGTACGCATATTCCGACCCTGACATTCTCCTGAATGGATATAGAGGCAGTGTTTTCTAAAGCAACCGTCTTCGTCGTGTGTCAAAGCTGACTCAGCCATATCGTGCAAAGTACACAAAGCACGAGGCTGTTTGTAGTTGGCGGAGCCCTAAATGGGGTCGGTTACCGTACCTTATCCACCGCTGGGAGCCACCAATTTTAGGTAAGTAGCTAGCAAAATTAGTTGATAAATGATTAATTGTTGCACTCACAACGCAGAGACGATAGACGCGGCCTCTTGGTTTTTTTGTATCGCTTTTATAATATATATCTCTCTTCTTCGCTTAGTTCTCTTTCGTACTTAGAACAAAGAGTGGGCGTCATATATACGTTCCATACTACGACCACACGATCAGATCAGACAACTACGTACGTATGTGCGTGCGTGCGTGCGTGCGTTTGACTGAATGTATTTTCAGTGGATATACGTCGAGGGTTATCGCTAATGCTCCACTGCTAAACCAAGCGTGTCATACGTAGTGCACACAACCAATAGCAATGACGCAGATTAACAGATAATGATAATATATTTAAGTGAGTA